TGTAACACTGAATTTGTCCTATAGAAAAATAGTAGTATGTAAAAGGATTGTTATGTGACACATGTTTGTAATTGCAGTTTGCCATTCATGATTCTATTTTTTTTGTTTTTACCAAAAGATATGTTTTTTTATCTTGTTTATAAATGCGAATCGTAGCTCTGGTGTTTGTAAGATAGGACCCCCAGTATGATATAAAAATATTCTTTTAACATATGTATAAACATCCTTATACTTACCCAAGGACTATTTTAAAGTTTGTTAGTACTGTATGAGACACTACAGTAATTGCCTGTATCTCTTGGTGATAACATCTTATCACCTACCTAATTTCTTTATCTGATGCTCTTAAAATTTATTATAACTTACATTGTATAGAGATTGTTTTCACTTTCTATCTCCAGCATATGACACACAGCCACATTGAAAGCCAATGTCCAGTTTTTGCACTGCTTAACCCTTTGACTGTCGCAACCCCCAATCCTGAGGTTTTCTCCTGGTGTTGCAAAATTTAAAAAAAAAAAATTATTTTTTCTTATGAAATGATAGAGAATCTTTTCCCGGTTGTAATGACACCAAAAAAACGAAATTTGATGGAAAACTGACGGAATTATGCTCTCGCGAAGTTTGCGACCTCGGCGCTGTTTATAAATCGGCGATTTCGCCCACTTTGAGCCCTATTTTCGGCTAATTCCATTGTTCCAGTCGCCCAAACTCATAGCTATTTCTTTAGAACTCCATTTTTTCTATCGATTGAGTACAAGAAACTGCCCATTTACTGATTTCAACTACCTAATAATGTGGTCAGAAATTTGCAATTTGGCCAATTTCACGAAAAGTAAAAAATATGACAATTTCAAAATAAGGTCCAGAATGAACAATGCAGACATTCCTGGCTCTAAAATAAAATTTTCTTTGTTCATCAGTCATGTCTCCAGGCCCCTTTGATATTACTCTTGCTTTCTATTTTGAATTTTTATTCAAACAAAAATTGAAGACTTACTATTATGCAGACTACTGCAATACTGTAATAATTGTATAAATAACATCAACCCATTCATGACTGCATATTAGAATGGCTAGTTGGACATTTATTGGACAATGACATCATTTGTTTACTTTTGAACATTGGCAAAAATCAAACATTTCCCCTACTTTGAGCTCCATTTCTAGGTTCTTTTTATAGTAAAATCAATCAAAATCACCTCTATTTCTATAATATGTTTTCCATTCTATCAAATGAGACCAAGAAAACGAGAATACAACCATAAATACAATATGAAAATAGACCACAAAGTCGGCATTTTAATTAAAAAAAAAAACGGTTGGAGTTTTTTTTTCTCATTATGCACTGCGTGCCCCAGGATTTTTTTTATATGGTGCACACTGACCACACAGACCCATTCTCTCACATGTTGGCCTACCAGCTTTCTCCTGCTTGATTTGAAGCCGCTAGAATTTATGAGTATATATACGTCAAACACGGTACCTCGTAAGACGTATATATATGGCCGCGACAAAGGGTTAATCTCTACAAATCGGTGAATACTTAAAACTCTTAATCACTTTGATTTGTTTCTTTGAATAAAATGTTTTACTGTTCTTTAATTATATCTGGCAAATCATGTATGTATAACTTTTTTGTTCTTTTGGCTTTAATCCTTCCATGTCCTTGTGTTATTTCCATCAACTTTTCTTTATCATTGTCTTTAAACTTTAAAACCTTCCACTGTCTTCCAGGTAGATTTATATTGCTGCAGGTGTTATTTGTATAGATCTGCATTTTAATTATAGTGCCCTTAAATATGCAGTGATTAGCAACTTGGACCTATACATGAGAGAATGAATCTTTATAGTCAATGTGCACAGTATAAAAAAAAAAATATTGCCCCATGCAGTAAAGTAATGAGAACAATGAACCTCTGACCCTGAGTTTAGGTTGATATAGTGAATTTGAGATGTTTTCTAATGGTTTTATTGGTTGTTTCTTGGTGTTAGTTGCTAGACTGGAAAACATACTACTGAAATGCTGATGATTTTAGCCTAGTGTCACAGGAAGTGAGATGAAATAGGCCTGTAGCAGAAATATTAATCTTTTCCTGAGGAAGGGTTGGGGCCCCTAACAACCTCCTTCCCAGTCTGTTTTGAGGGGTTTTACTAGATCTGCTTCAGTTATTTGGATGGTCTACACCATTCTTGGTTATATTTTTTGGCGAGAAATAGGGTAAAACTTCAGTTTTCTGTATGACTGGTTCATACTGGAGGGCAAATGTTATACAGGAGAGGCCTGGGGATGTAATTAGTGAACAGAGGAAAGAAAGGTTGCTGTAATGGCTGGAATACCTACAGTGGTTATTTGGGACTGTTTTTTTAAAGGGTATTTTATAATTGTGTAAAATTTGCCAAATTATTGACTTTCAAGTATTTTATAGGATAGTCAGATAGTTGAATGAACATTTTCTTGTGCTCAATTGATAGAATGGAAGTCATATTATTGAAATAGCCAGGAATTAGGTCTGTTTAAGAAATGGATGCCACATAAAATAGGCCTCAAAATGGGTAAAATCACTTAAATTGCACCCAGACTGCCAACTTTGCTCCTGCATAATTCTGTAAGTTTTCTATAAAATTTTGCATTCTTGTTTCACTTCAGATGCAGAATTTCATGTGCTACTTGCTTTTTGAATAATCTGTATCCTTTTTTGTTGATTTTTGTCCTATTTGCATTATATGGTTATCAGCTTTATCTTTGTACTTTGACCTAGTGTCTGGTGGCTGATAAGTCTGCATCCTGTTGCTTTTAATCACCTAAGACAACTTCCTATTACTTTTTACTATACATTTACAGTATTGTTCAGTCATTTTAAGACTTGCATTTAACAAATGGGAGACCATAATCATGCACTACATCGTTCTTCTGTCAAATTAGGCAAGGAGAGTGATGTGCTCTTGGGTGTGATGGTTTGTATATTGAATGAATGTGGGGGAGTTAGTGAGGGGGCATGCAGGTCCCAGAGGACTCCACCACCCAATAATCAATGGCAACTTGGTCCGCCTGCGTGGGAGGTCTCCACCCTCACACTCCTCGACTGCCCTTCTCCTTCACCTGCCCTTGTCACTTCCTGTTCTTCTCCTCTGCCTGGCCATCTCTAAGCTCTTCACCGTCCTGTGTCCTGCCCCTTTATGTTTTGTCTGCCACTTCATGTGCCAGTGCTTTTTTGCACTTCGCCTTTGTCCCTTTTAAATTTCCATTGTCATACACCTTTCCTCTTTCCCTACACATTTTACCCATTCATCTCTACTCTCACCATTTCACCTTCACTGTGCCTCCCTCCACCTCCCCCACTACTTTACCCTAATCCCAACATCTGTTTTTTTATCCTATTTTTCCCCTCTTTATTTTCCTTTCTCTCTCCCCTTCTTTAGTCTTTCTTCATATTGCTTCTCTCCCTGTTTTTCCCTTTTGCCTTGTCTTCCCATTCTCTGGTGCAGCACTCTTTCCCTGAACTTTGTTCCTACCCTCTCATTATATTCTTTGTTTACACTTTGTTACACTTTGTTTACACTCTTCTATAACTTCAGTAAGTTGCTGGAGACTGACCTGCTTGCAGTACAGGTTGCTGGGCACTGGCCTGCCTGCACACAGGTTGCAGACTTATTGGGCAAAGTTAATTTCATTACAACAGCAATATTGAAAATATAATTGTCTGTTATATTTAGAGTGAAAATACTCTCAGTGGCAGTGTATGATAGTGTTGCTCAGGTATACATACATTTGCTGGTCATAGGTCTTAACAGTAATTGACACCTTATTTAGCTACAACTCTCATGGAATTGTTCCATAAATATCCTTTAACCCTTTGACTGTTTCGGTCGTATATATACGTCTTACGAGCCACCGTGTTTGACATATATATACTCAAAAATTCTAGCGGCTTCAAATCAAGCAGGAGAAAGCTGGTAGGCCTACGTATGAGAAAATGGGTCTGTGTGGTCAGTGTGCACCATATAGAAAAATCCTGCAGCACGCAGTGCATAATGAGAAAAAAAAACTCCGACCGTGTTTTTGGATCAAAACGCCGACTTTGTGGTGTATTTTCGTATAGTATTTATGGTTGTATTCTCGTTTTTTTGGTGTCATTTGATAGAATGGAAAACATATTATAGAAATAGAGGTGATATTGATTGGTTTTACTATGAAAAGAACCTTGAAATGGAGCTCAAAGTAGGGGAAATGTGTGATTTTTGCCGGTGTTCAAAAGTAAACAAATGTTATTGTCCAATAAATGTCCAACTAGCCATTCTAATATGCAGTCATGAATGGGTTGACAATATTTATACAATTATTACAGTATTGCAGTAGTCTGCATAACAGTAAATCTTCTATTTTTGTTTGAATAAAAATTCAAAACAGAAAGCAAGAGAAATATCAGAGGGGCCTGGAGATGTGACTGATGAACAAAGAAAATGTTGTTTTAGAGCCAGGAATGTCTGCATTGTTCATTCTGGACCCTATTTTGAAATTGTCATATTTTTTAATTTGCGTGAAATTGGACAAATTGCAAATTTCTGACCACGTTATTGGGTAGTTGAAATCAGTAAATGGACATTTTCTTGTACTCAATCGATAGAACAAATGGAGTTCTAAAGAAATGGCTATGAGTTTGGTTGACTGGAACAATGGAATTAGCCGAAAATAGGGCCCAAAGTAGGCAAAATTGCTGAGTCATAAATATCGCCAAGGTTGCTGACTTCACGAGAGCGTAATTCCGTAAGTTTTCCATCAAATTTCGTCCTTTTGGTGTCATTACCATCGGGAAAAGATTCTTTATCATTTCATAAGATTTTTTTTTTTACACCAGGAGACCCCTCAGAATTTGGGGTTGCGACAGTCAAACGGTTAAAAGTATTTTTTTTAGAAGGTTTTCTTTAATTATAATCAAAAGTATACCCCATCATTCTTTCAAATACATGTATAAATTTTTTTTCTTTTTTCTTTACAGTGCTGAACCTGACACTCATCGACTTACCTGGCTTAACAAAGGTACCCATTGGTGACCAGCCACCAGACATTGAGCAGCAGATTCGCAACATGATCATGACGTATATTACCAAAGACAGTTGTCTAATCTTAGCTGTGTCACCTGCTAATTCTGATTTAGCCAACAGTGATGCACTCAAGTTATCCAAAGATGCTGATCCTGATGGTAAGAATATTACTGTTCACAAACCAAATCACTTTTACCTGATAAATCACTGTTGACCTGACATGTCACTATGGACCTGTCGGTATGTTACTTGGGGTCCATGAGTGAGGTTCATCTGGCATTAATGCAGCATATCAAATTATTAAATTATTTCATTGTATATTAATCAGTAGAGAAAAAGTCATAAAACTAATAATTTCATTAAATATAAGTGCAATAATGATAAAATTTAATGTATTGATATGTCCATTGCTTTTGTTACAGTATATACACTGTTTGGTATACAGTACTTTAATAGTTCTCCAAATAAAGGGGAATAGTGGTGTAGCAGTTTCAATTAAAGAATTTCCTGTCAGCAGCACTTAAATTTTTTTGTGCATGTGTGTGTGCACGTGTGTATGCCCACACGAAAGGCCCCTTGGTGCTAGTGATCACATGGTCCTGTTTGGAATACCTTGTGGCATTAATAGTAGAGAGTGAAGCAGCACAGGGAGGTGGGGAGAAGCCAAACTTCTAAACAGGGGACTACACAGGCATTAAGTGCAGTGGGAAAGTGAGCTAGAAGGAAAGACAGTGAATAAGATGATGGAACATGTGGCTAGAAAGTGTAGGGAGGCAGAGAAGTTTGTACCCAGGGGTAGTAGAAACAATGGGAAGACCAGAGTGAACCCCTGATTCACCCAGAGGTGTTGAGTTCAAAGCCAGTTGCGTTAGAGCATGGAGAAAGTGTAGTGGACAAAGAACTCAGGAAAAGTTGAGTCAAAGAACCAGAAATAAACAAGCATGCATGGGTAAGGAGGGGGGCTAAACGGCAGTTTGAGAATGACATAGCATCAAAAGCCAAATCTGACCCAGAGTTATTTTTATTATTTATTATCACACTGGCCGATTCCCACCAAGGCAGGGTGGCCCGAAAAAGAAAAACTTTCACCATCATTCACTCCATCACTGTCTTGCCAGAAGGGTGCTTTACACTACAGTTTTTAAACTGCAACATTAACACCCCTCCTTCAGAGTGCAGGCACTGTACGTACTTCCCATCTCCAGGACTCAAGTCCGGCCTGCCGGTTTCCCTGAACCCCTTCATAAATGTTACTTTGCTCACACTCCACCAGCACGTCAAGTATTAAAAACCATTTGTCTCCATTCACTCCTACCAAACACGCTCACGCATGCCTGCTGGAAGTCCAAGCCCCTCGCACACAAAACCTCCTTTACCCCCTCCCTCCAACCTTTCCTAGGCCGACCCCTACCCCGCCTTCCTTCCACTACAGACTGATACACTCTTGAAGTTATTCTGTTTCGCTCCATTCTCTCCACATGTCCGAACCACCTCAACAACCCTTCCTCAGCCCTCTGGACAACAGTTTTGGTAATCCCGCACCTCCTCCTAACTTCCAAACTACGAATTCTCTGCATTATATTCACACCACACATTGCTCTCAGACATGACATCTCCACTGCCTCCAGCCTTCTCCTCGCTGCAACATTCATCACCCATGCTTCACACCCATATAAGAGCGTTGGTAAAACTATACACTCATACATTCCCCTCTTTGCCTCCAAGGACAAAGTTCTTTGTCTCCACAGACTCCTAAGTGCACCACTCACCCTTTTCCCCTCATCAATTCTATGATTCACCTCATCTTTCATAGACCCATGTGAATACATTCACCTCCTCCATACTCTCTCCCTCCAATCTGATATCCAATCTTTCATCACCTAATCTTTTTGTTATCCTCATAACCTTACTCTTTCCTGTATTCACTTTCAATTTTCTTCTTTTGCACACCCTACCAAATTCATCCACCAATCTCTGCAACTTCTCTTCAGAATCTCCCAAGAGCACAGTGTCATCAGCAAAGAGCAACTGTGACAACTCCCACTTTGTGTGATTCTTTATCTTTTAACTCCACGCCTCTTGCCAAGACCCTCGCATTTACTTCTCTTACAACCCCATCTATAAATATTAAACAACCACGATGACATCACGCATCCTTGTCTAAGGCCTACTTTTACTGGGAAATAATTTCCCTCTTTCCTACATACTCTAACTTGAGCCTCACTATCCTCGTAAAAACTCTTCACTGCTTTCAGTAACCTACAGTCAAGGACCAGGTAATTAGGCTAGAGAAGGTAGGTGGGGAGTTCTCAAATGACCAGGAAGTCTGTGAAGAATTCACAAGATTTAGGAAGGTATTCTCAGAGGGGACAGAGAAGCTCCCAGCAACCCAAGGCAGGAGAGTGCACCAGTAAGTGTTGGATACAATTCACAAAACCAGGAAGGAGGTGAAGATACTGCCTCATGAGTTAGATACCTCGATGGCAGTGGGACCAGATAGTATCTCTGTGGGTGCTGAGAGAGGGAGCAGAGGCACTGTGTGCCGTTAACAATTTTTAATAAGCCCATCGAAATAGGGCAACTACCAGAGGTGTGGAAGCCAGTAAATGTAGTCCCAATTTTTAAGAAAGGAGACACAGGTAGCATTAACTACAAACCAGTGTCACTGATATACAGTTGAACCTCATTTTTTGGCCGTAATCTGTTCCAGAAGGTCGGCCTAATTTTGAAATGGTCTAAATTCGAAGCAATATTTCCTATAATAATTAATGTAAATACAATTAATCAGGGAAACCGGTTATTTTCATATAGTCGGACTTGAGTCCTGGAAATGGGAAGTACAATGCCTGCACTTTAAAGGAGGGGTTTGGGATATTGGCAGTTTGGAGGGATATGTTGTGTATCTTTATACGTATATACTTCTAAGCTGTTGTATTCTGAGCACTTCTGCAAAAGCAGTGATAATGTGTGAGTGTGGTGAAAGTGTTGAATGATGATGAAAGTATTTTCTTTTTGGGGATTTTCTTTCTTTTTTGGGTCACCCTGCCTTGGTGGGAGACGGCCGACTTGTTGAGAGAGAGAAAAAAAAAAGTTAATCCGTTCCAGACACCCAAAAATATTCACAAAAAATACATTTTTTAAAGATTAATTATAGTTTTACATACACAAAACAATGAGAACTAAATAAAATAAATACACAAACAATTAAATCACTATTACATATACCTTTATTGAAGACTCTTGTTGGCTTATGGAAGACAGGGAGGAGGAGAGTTTGGAGATAGGATGCTAATATCAATTCTATGCTTATTTATCTATCACTGTTGATCTAATACGACATAATAAAGAATATATAAAGAATACATGTCATTATGTATATGAAGAAACAAACCATACCACAGGTGGGGTTTGAACCCGTGGTCAGAGAGTCTCAAAACTCCAGACCGTTGCGTTAGCCACTGGGCTAGCTAGCTGGCCCAATGTCTAATGCGGCGGTCTGGAATATTGAGACACTCTGACCGTGGGTTCAAACCCCACCCATGGTATGATTTGTTTGCAATTGTGCCATTACGATTTCGTGAGTCTTGTATATGAGGAGTAAGTGGTGGTGATGATATTGGGTTTTTAAGGGAAGCCGTACATATTAGTGATAATGGAGGCAGCAGCAGACGCCAGCAACACTATTCACACAAACAGTGTGCATAATTTATAAATAAGAAATGCTGGCATTGGAGATGGAGATGCTGGCATTGGTTTAGGGTGGTGGAAGATAGGCAAGGCAGCATATGTTTGTAGTGGCCCTATATACCTCCAACAACATTGGAGGAGTCAGTTTCGTGTCGTCCATTTTCTATCGCTCAATCGCTTAACTTACTTGTTACACTGTTAATGCTACACTTTGTCACTGGCTACACATATCGTTGAATCACTGAATCACATCAGCTTACTTGATTTGTTCTTTCTTTGCCAGGATAGAAGTGAGTGTCGATTTGTTTTTGCCATAATTCCTGGCAAGTTCCAGCACCCGTACACCATTCATATTTTTCTGTTATACTTCCTTCTTAAATTCCATCGTGTTTCTCACTTTCTTTACCAAAGGAACTTTACTAGGAACTTTCTTAGGGCCCATGGTGACTTATTTCACAGTTGCACTTAATAAAAAAAACATGAAAAACAGTGGATTTTAAGGAAATGTTTGGATTAATGTGCAGAGTATGTGCTCGCTCGCCGACAGACAAAGGGGAGACTGAGTCACCAAAGCACAACATCCTTGTGGGAGAGGCAAATGAGTCTAATTCAGCAGATATACGAGGCAACGGCTGAAATACAGAGCAAAATTTCCTCCAAAAAATCTGCCTAAATACGAATCGGCTGATAAAGTGGCCGAGAAACGAGGTTCCACTGTATATAGTATGTAAAGTTATGGAGAAGAGTGGTGGAGCACCTAGAAAGGAGTGGGTTTGTACATGACAACCAGCATGGCTTCAGGGATGAAACATCCTGAGTCACAAACCTACTGGAGTTCTGTGACAAGGTAACAGAGGTAAGACAGGAGAGAGAGGGAGAAGGAGGGAGAGATGTATGGATGGATGGAGGGATGTATGTGCGGATTGCATTTCCTTGGAGTTAGAGCAGCTCAAGTGTCTGACTTAAGAACAGCAGCCTAGTCTCCCCCCCCTCCCCCCCCCTCCCCCCCTAAATATGGTGAGATTTTTTTCCCCTTCAAAATTTGGTGTGGCTTACAGCCTATGATTTGGAATGAATATGGATCAGTTTAGACTGCAATTATTGACTTTTATTGTTTGGATTACATTGAGAATATATTAATAGTAAAACAGCACATTAATCTCTACAACAGAAAATTGATACTGATAGTAGCACATTAACCCCTTGACTGTCGCAAACCCCAATCCTGAAGTGTCTCCTGGTGTCGCAAAATTTAAAAAAAAAAAATGCTTTTTCTTATGAAATGATAGAGAATCTTTTCCCGATTGTAATGACACCAAAAACACGAAATTTGATGGAAAACTGACGGAATTGCGCTCTTGCGAAGTTAGCGACCTCAGCGATATTTAGAAATCGGCGATTTTTCCCACTTTGAGCCCTATTTTCGGCTAGTTCCATTGTTCCAGTCCACCAAACTCATAGCTATTTCTTT